GGCAGGAGGTATCACAATCACTGACTTAAAATTATACTATAAAGCTACTGTGATAAAAACAGCATAGTACTGGCAAAAAACCAGACCTGTTTTCTAGTCTGTTTCAAGTGAAACAGACTAAAAGATGAAGAAACAACTCCAGACATACTCAAACACCTTATCTTTGATGAAAGTGCCAAACACATTCACTGGAAGAAAGATATTCTCTAATAAAAGTGCTGGAAAAACTGGTTTTACACTTGCCAAACATTAAAGTTGGACCCATATTTTTCACCACACTAAACTAAATTTGAAGTGGATCAAAGTTCTAAATACTAAAACAGAAACATTAAATCTGCTGGAAGACAGAATAGGTAATACTCTTGAAAACATTGGTGCAGGCCAAGATTTTATAAATAAACCCCCAATCTCCCAGGAACTATCACAAGTAATCAACAGCTGGGCTTTCATATTAAAAAGCTTTTGTGCACCTAGAGAAACCATCAGCAGAATCAAGAACACCCACAGGGGGCTGGGGAGATGACTCAGTAGAAAAAGCGCTTGCCTGGCAAGCTCAAGGGCCTGAGTTCAATCCCCGGTTCTGGGAAAAAAAAAAAGCACCCACAATGTGGGAATGGTCCCAAACTATTCCTCAGACAAAGGACTCTTACTGAGAACATACACAGAACACAACAAAAGCAGACTTTCCAAATTTAAAGATTTCCTAATCCAACAATGGGCATCTGTGATGAGTACACTCTTTTCAGATGAAAAAATCCAAACAGCAAAGAAATAGTATGAAAGGATGTTCAACATCACTGGTCATTTGTGAGATGCAAATTAAAACCATACTGAGATCCATCTCCAGAGAGAATGGCTGTTTATCAAGGAGTCAACCAATAACAAATACTACAGGAGTTGTGGGGGAAAGAACCTTTTTGCACTGCTGCTTGGGAACGTAGACTGGTGCAGCCCACTACGGGAATCAGTGTGGAGACTCCTCAGAAGACGAGGACTAGGACTAGAGGTTTCATGTGACCCAGCTAGTCCCTTGCTGCATATCTTTAAAAACATCACGGCACCGTGATACATTGCACCTGTGCTTGTAGCAGCACAATTTGTAATAGCTACATCTTGGAAACAACCAAAATGCTCGTAAGCTGAGCAGAAGGGAAAAAAACACCCAATGTGGTCTTTCTGTACAATAGAGGACTACACAGCCATAAAAAAGATAAAACTGAGGGCTTCTATAGGTAAACTGATGCAACTAGAGACCATACACATAAGTGAAATAAACCAGACACGTATGAACACTGAAATATCTCCCTAGTGTGAGAAGCTGAACACGTCAGATTCAAATGTACAGTAAAGATTGTGAAATGGGAAGAGACTGTTCAAAAGGAAAGAGAAGCTGGGGAGTTAGCTTGGTGGTCTGAGCGCCTGCCTGACAAGCACAAGGCCCGGGGTGTGAGCGCTGCTAGCTCCAGAACCGAAACAGTGGTGGTGCATGCCTATAATCCCAGTGCTGGGGAGGCTGAGACAGGAGAATCACTATGAGTCTGAGCTGTGTTGCAAGAACTTGTACCAAATAAATAAATGAATAAAAGATTGAAGAAAAAAAAAAGGAAAGAGAAACTGGGATGGGGCATAGGGAAAAGCTATGCATACACACGCGTGCACGCGGTAGTTAAGACAGTTGTACTCCTAATTTCTCTTGGTCCATTGACAAGAAGGGTTTGTGCTTTTTTTGCCATTCTGGGGATTGAACTCAGGACCCTGCACTCACCTGGCAAGCGCTTATTCTACTGAGCTAGCTCCCCAGCCTCCAGTGCTAATATTGTTTGGACAAGTACTTGCCAATATCTTGTACGATAATTTAAAAATAATATGCAGAGGGGCTGGGGCGCTAGCTCAGTAGAATAAGCACTTGCCTGGCAAGCGCAAGGCCTGAGTTCAATGCCCAGTTCCGCCAAAGGAAAAAAAAAAAAAAGATAATATGCAGGGCTGGCCAAATAGCTCAGTGGATTAAAGTGCCTGCAGCAGGCATGGGGTGGGGTTCGATCCCTGGGCCTGCTGTGCCAACCCTGCCCTCCGAGCACACTGAGGTGGCGACTGAGACTGGGCATGGTGGTGCACGCCTGTAATCCCAGCTCTTGGGAGGCTGTAAACAGGCGGATCACTGCAAATCTGTCCAATAGTGAGACCCTGAACACCCTGTAGAACTTTCCCTAGAAATAAAAAAAAAGATAATATACAATGCATTAACCATTGTTACTCTCCTATTATCTTGTTTTGAAATTTTATGTTTTTCTCTTTAGAACACACACACACACACACACACACACACAAAATAGGGAGTGGGAGACAATCCACAATGTGGGGAAAAATGTTCTCCAGCTGTTTCTCAAAGTTGTACCATCAAGAACATAATACAGAACACAACTAAATCAACTCCCAAATTTAAAGACCTTGCTGGGGAGACCGTACATTGGCATAAGTACCTGTTTGGCAAGTACAAGGTCCTGAGTTTGATCTCTGGTACCAAAAAAAAAAAAAAAAAAATTCTAATTCAGCAGTGGACATCTGAGATGAATACACATTTCTCAGATGGGAAGGGGACTGGGGGGGCAGGGCTGAAAAGAAGTGGGGTGTGTTGTGGGCATGAAGCAGCTCACGAACCCACGAGTGTGACCAGTACACACTCTAGACAGGCACTAAGCAAACATAAGAGATTGCAAAGAGTTGATACTACCTCAGAAACGCTGGTTTATTATAGATACAGGAGTGAGATGATTGTAAGCTAGGTGAACGTACAGTATACATAGTTGGCAAGGGGCCAGTACAAAGAATCCCCAGTGTATGTGGAAGGATATACACATACAGAAACATACAGACACCACACGTGGCACACAGGGTAAGTGCTCCCGCAAGTAGATCACTAATAATTTCTGAGAGATGCTTTTTGAGACAGGGTCTTGCAGTGTCGTCCAGGCTGGCCTTGGACTTACAGCAATCCTTCTGCCTCAGCCTCTCAGGATCTAGGATTATAGGATTTAATCACCATCTTGGGCTCAAGTGCTACTAATTTAAAAATGAGCAAAAGACACAAACTGGTTTCACGGTCCATAAACAGATGTTGCACGTACTTTGGAATCCAGAACAGCATACAAGGCCAAAGAGCCACCATTTCACACCCAGCCTGCCTGGCAACAGGGTGTTAACAAGATATACTCTGCTGTCGAGAGGGTGGACTAGTGAACTGCACTGGAAGACATCTTGTAAAGCTGAGGTGAGGGTGAGCGTGGTGGCATAGGCTCCTTTGTAACCATGGCACTCAGGGAGGCTGAAGCAGGAGGGTCATAATTTGAGCCCAGAATGGGAGACTGGGCAATTTAGTGAGACTCTTGTCTCAAGAAGAAGAAAAAGGGGCTGGTGAGATGGCTCAGTGGTCTAAAGCACCTACTTGGAACAAGCTCGGCAAAGCACAGGGACCGCGGTTCAATCCCCCAGCACCACATGCCAGCCAGCCCCGCCCCCTGGTGAGCTGAGCTGGCCACACACACACACACACACACACACATAAATAAATAAATAAATAAAAAAATTTAAAAAGAAAAAAAGGCCGATGCTGTAACTCTTGATTCCACCCTTACTCCATGCTAGATTTTCATTCCCAAAAAGACTCTGCAGAAGTCCTGCAGACTTGGGACTTGGGCTGTGCTGAGGACCCAGCAGGAAGGGTGCACATGGGGCCCTTGTCCTGCGGGGCAGCAGGAGGCCATGAGGTATGCATGCTGCGGAATGCAGTGCAGAAATAAAGGCCGCAGACACTGTCCTGGGTCCCTGTGTCACCTACCCTGGGCCCGGCTCACCTCGCAGCACGAGCCCCACTCTTCCTGGGTGGGCTGCTGCTCCTCCCTGGCGCAGCTGCCTCATTGTCCCTCAGTGCTCACCTGCTCCTGCCTGGGTTCCCTTCTATTGTCACCACACTATGACTCCGTGCCTGTTCCCATAAAGTGGAACAGGGCAGTGGTTTGTGACTTGAACAGAATGAGCATTTGTGGAAATCATTGGCAGGAATGTCAGTTCTGTCCCTCTTGGTGACCTCTGTGTGAGTGGTTAAGACCCAGCCTCCCCTGTTCAGGCCTGAATACAAAGGGGCTCCTGGGGGACTGTGGGATCACTCCATTCAGTCCTTCCCTAGTCCCAGAGGTGCGTCTTCTCTTCTCCCTGTGGTTCTTTCTCCACACTGGCACCACAGATTCTTCTAGACCACTTCTGATCCCATCTCTCTCAGGTAGAACCCTCCAAGGGGCGGGCAGTGTGGCAAGCCTGCCTCATAAGCCTGAGGCACAGGTTCCAGCTTCAGCACTCAGCACCCTTGCGTGGCCCTTCACTGTCCTTCAGACCCCCGGCTCCTCCTGTCGGCAGTGACATTCAGGCAGCCCACCCCGCAGTTGCTGTCAGAGCAATGAGCTCACGTAGGGAAAGCTCTTGGCTCTGCACAAAGGATAGGCCCGGCCTTTTTCCCCCCGGGCTGTGCTGCTTCTAGCCTTTTTGTGGCCACCAAGCTCCACCCCAGCCCTCAGGCTTCTGCTGGGAGGCGAGGCCTCCTACATTCTTTTGTAAGACTTGTGTCTGGGGACAACTTTGGGAGTGACTGTGTGTGTGTGAGAGACAGAGACAGACTGACTGACTGACATCTCCCCTTGTCGGGCCTGCTGCCTGCTAGACCAGCACTCTACCATTCTTATTTTAGAGATGGGTGTCATTAAGTTGCTCAGGTCTGCCTTGAGTTTGTGATTCTCTCGCTCAGCCTCCCAAGCAGCCAGGATTGCAGGCATGTCCCCAGGCACAGCAGTGCTGACTATTAAAGATAATTTATGGCATCTCAACACAGGCTGGAGCCTGCTGAGGATAGCATTTTAGGAGCCTCGGGGCCTGCGTTAGGATAAGCTGTCCCCCGCACCCAGCGCCAGCAACATTCACAGGCCCCTGGCTAGGGGCCCACTCGTGCTCACCGTGTTGAAATACTCCACACCAGTGGCTTCAAACGCTCTCGATACAGCTTGGGTGGTGGCCACGCAGGCAACAGGGTGGCCATTGCCAATGGACTTGCCCATGGTGACAATGTCGGGGACAAAGTCCTCCCCCTGCAGCTGGAAGGCCCAGAAGTGCTTGCCTACTCGACCAAAGCCAACCTGGATCTCATCTGCTACGAACACTGCTCCGGCCCTGCGGATGTGCCTGTGGCAGAGGACAAAGCACTATGAAGAAGAGGCAGGCTGCACTGGGAGCCAGGAGGGGCTGCGCAGCCAGGCAGGACCCAGGCAAAGGCTGGCCTTCTCCAGACTGCTGTTCAAGGCTGTTTCCAAGACCTCAGGCAAGCAGGCTGGCTGTGGTTGGGACCTGGGGCAGGCCATCCCCTACTCACTGTGCCACAAGGGAGAAGTAGCCCACAGGGGGAAGGATCTGCCCAGCGACACTGGGCAGCGACTCCGCAAAGAAGGCTGCAATCTGTGAATGAGACCGAGGCAGGGCAGAGCAAGGGCCCCGCGTCCCACTAAGGCAGTGAGTTGACTCTGCAGGATGCCTCACCCTCTCTGCTGCGTCACTGTTGGGCTCCTTATCATATCTGAGGGCTTGTGACTCAGTTTCTATTTACACTCTTAGACCAGCTCTGGCCTCCTGGATGCCTCTCCTTCCTGTGCTGAAGCCCTGACATCCCCCAGGGGTTACCAGTGTCATTCTCACCCCTCCCACCTAGGACAGAAATGGAGCCCAGCCCTGAGCCACCAGGCTGTCACAAGCAGGTGACATGGTGGCTGTTCTGGATATCCCCCAAAGCCTCACATGGTCACGGGTGGGGGGCTTTTTAGAGGGTGCAACACTGGGATCAAGGGTGTATAACCAGAGTCAGTCCGCTGATGGCTTTGGTACAGTTCTGGGTGAGTGGCACTGCCCTGGGCAGGCAGCCCACATGGAATGCAAAGGAACACATGAAGCCTGTGCTGCCCTTGTCACTTGTTCACTGCCTTCTGCCTGTCCTGCTTTGCCATGAACAGTTTCGCCTTTGCAGTGGCTCCTGCCATGGAGCCAGCGACCATGAACTAAACCCTCTACAAACTGTAAGCCACACAGACCTTTTCTCCGACTTGGGTTTTAGCAGCCAGAAGAACTGGCATGTCTTTCCTTTTGGTACCGAGGACTGAACTCAGGACCTTGCGCTTGCCAGGCTGGCTTATGCCACTTATCTCCCTGGCCCCTCCTTTGGCTTTGGGTGTAGGTGTTTTGCTACAGCAACAAGAGAAAAAGCAAGCTCGCCCCACAGCCTGCACCTGATCCAACTCTGAGCTGCTGCTTCCTCTCTACCAGATGCTTCTGTGAAAGGCCTGCCTTCCTCAGCCTCCTGCGAACGCTGCCTCACATGGCCTTAACCCAGAGCTCCGAGCTGCTGCTGTGGGCCTGTGTAAACAGCTCCTACCCCAGTGGCTTCCCAAATGCGGCCTGCCCGAGCATTGCTTCTGAGGTCACTGCTGGGACTCAAAAGGGCCCCAAAAGATGGAAACCAAGGCTCCACCCCAGCTGCAGCTGGAGCGGTGCCACGGAAGTGATGGGCTTCTCAGGCCAGTTCGGCCCACAGCCTGCCTGCCTTTCCCGAGCCTGCTGGCTCTGCCCTGTGGGACACACCACAGACCCTTCCTCTCACAGCACAGGGTGAAGCCAGCGGGGCCTCCTCAGGCCCTCCTTACCTGCCCTACGGTCTGTGCTCAGGCTGTTCCCCTTCAAAGCCACCCTGCACCCAGTCTCTGGCCCTCACTTCCCGAGGCCTTCAGTGGCTCTCCACCGGCTCGGTCCAGGCTACGCCTCTGCATGCACTACCTGGCCTACTCATTGGGACTATAGTCTGGTGGCACCTTTGGTAAGGGCACTCCTGCATGCCACCCAGCCCCTTGTGCCTTGGGGTGGGGCTTGCTCCACCTGCCTGGTGACAAACAGCTGGCACCTCGCTTCCCACCACTGTGTCCCACAGGGGCGGGCCATGTTCTTCCCTGATTTCCCATCTAGCCCAGCACAGCTGTGGGCATTTACCTTCCGGCCCTTCTCCTGTGCGCTGCTGACAACACGGCTGACCTCATTGGCATAGGCAACAGCTGGGTTGGAGTGGTCTTCCCTGTAGGGGCCCCGGTAGGTATCTGGGAGAGGTGCCTATAGGGAGGGACGGTGCTTGTCATCCTAGCTTGGGGATGGGCCCCAACCTGCTGCCAGTGTGGGTGGTGCATACCACATGGACCCACTCCTTCTGGCCGTCCAGGTCCCGAAACTTGTAGGGACTGATGTCGATCAGGGAGCTCAGGTGGCCATGGTAAGCACTGGGGAGAAGGAAGGCTGGGCTCAGGTGGCCAGGCCCCGGCCACCATCCCCACCTTCAAAGACAACACACCCAGAAGCCAGCCATTCCAACAAGACCCTGAGTCCCTGTGCCGGCAGTGAGCCTCGCGGTGCAGGACTTTGGGCATCGCCACCTCCCCTGGAGGCTGAGGGTCTGCTCCTTCACAGTCACCGTGCATCTTTAGCACACTAGCACCCTGAGCCCAGGCTGAAGTTCTGAGTACAGCAGGACCAGCTTCCAGTCCTGTACAAAACACACCCTGTCCCCAGAAGGTGACATGAGGACCCCTCAGGGAGGTGTCTCTGGGGCCTGGTTGCCTGTCCTGCTTTCTCTGCTCCCGAGCCTCCTTATCCCCAAGGCACCTGGGGACAGCACTGCTGGTCTCCACCAGGCAGGCTGGCCTCGGAGTGACAGGCTTCAAGCTGACTTACTGGTCCAGCACCACCACGTCCTGGTGTCCTGTGTACTGGCGCGCTAGCCGCAGGGCCAAATCGTTGGCTTCTGACCTGTGACAGAAAAGGTAGGCACTGCTGGGACAGCCTTGCCATGGCTTTCCTGAAGCCTGGTGGACAGGAGGAGCTCTTCGAGCACCAAGACCCTCGGGGTGTCGCTCAGTCACTTGCTTGTGCATTTGGGAAACATCAAGTGCCTCCTGGGCATGTGTTAGTAAGATGCCCTCCCCCCTCCTGAAAGGTACAGGTGCCACAAAAGCCAGGACACAGGGCACCAAGAGGGGGAAGAGCAGGTGGGGTCCCACTCTAGATCTGGGGTATTATGGCTCAACTGTGTTCCCCAAATCAGTTTATCAAAGCCTTAACGCTCAGTAGCTCAGAATGTTCTGTGCGTGTCTGAAGATACAGCTTTTTAATTAAAAAAATTTTAATAAAAAGTTAACTGGAGGGGCTGGTGAGATGGCTCAGTGGTCTAAAGCACCTACTTGGAACAAGCTTGGCAAAGCACAGGGACCGCGGTTCAATCCCCCAGCACCACATGCCAGCCGGCCCTGCCCCCTGGTGGGCTGAGCTGGTCACACACACACACACACACACACACACACACACACAATAAATGTTTTTTAAAAAAAAAAAGTTAACTGGATATGGTGGCACAGGCCTACGATATAAGCCACTTAGGAGGCTGAAGCAGAAGGATCACAAGTTCAAGGCCAGCCTGAGGAACTTAGGGAGACCCTCATTAGTTCAAAGAATTTAGGGCTGGCTGAATAGCTCAATGGCAGCCTGCTTGCCTAGTGTGAAACCCTAGGCTCAACCCCAGTCTGGTGAGAGGTGGAAAGAGGCCTTCAGGGTCCTTACAACAAGGGAAGCCTGAGGTGTGAGCATTATGGGGCCCTGTGCACAGAAGGGCAGCAGGTGGCCACCTGGATGATGAGAGGGGCAGTGGAAGTGACCAGGCCTGCAGACATCCTTGCTGGGGCTCCAGCCTCTACACTGTGGGAAAATACAAATTCACAGCCTGAGTCCCCTAGGCCAGTGGTGATGAACCTAAGGCCCTTGTCTTTAAGACAAAAGATGTTAGTGTACTAGTTTTTTTTTTTTTTTTTTTCTAAACTAAAGCCTCAGTTTTCAGATGTAATTGAAGGGTTGGCATTTTGTGATAAATAAGTGAGTAGCTTCTGGGTTGTGATTTGTTGTTCATCTCTAAAAGGTTCACCATTAAACACATGTAATTGCAGCACTCAGGAGGCTGAGGCAGGAGGATCGCCTTGGGCTACAAAATGAGTTCAGGGCCAGCCTGAAGTACACAGAGACCTTATCTCAAGAAGACAAAGTAAAATAAAAGGTTTGCCTTCACTGCCATAGTCTGTGGTACTTTTTTTTTTTTTTTTTTTGTTGCAGAACTGGGGATTGAACTCAGGGCCTTGTGCTTGCCAGGAAAGTGCTTATTTTGGTCACCCAACAGCCAACACAGGTCAGAAGGGCGAGGGCAGGGACAAGGGAGATAGCTCAGTATAATAAGCGCTTCCCTGGCAAGAGCAAGGGTCTGAGTTCAATCCCCAGTTCCACAAAAGAAAAAAAAAAAAAAAAATTGCCAGGGCAACACCACCCTGAGTGCCACACATGCAGAGGCCTTATGAAGAAGGGTGCCTGGAGTGCCCAAGGGGCCAAAAGGAGACAGGTTGGGGCCTGAGGGGACCCATGAGGAGTCAGCCCATGTCACAGCAGCTGCTGGCCAGGGAGATGGACAGGTGGGCACAGTGACGCAATGCCCTGGAGATGAGCAAGGCAGGACTGAGCCAAGTCAGCTGTGGCTTCTTCCTCCTGCAAAGGGAGGCGCTGCAGTGAGGGCCAGAAGGGTATGGTCTCGGAGGCCTGCAGGGAGTGGCTGGGAGCACCAGGAAAACTCCAGCCTTCCACTCTGAGGCCAGACTGCCTGGCGGGGCCAGCAGTGCTGCCCCCAGGTGCCTTGAGGAGACGATTCCTGACCGCCTATGGGCATGTGAAATCTGCCTGTTAGCTGTCAGGTGGGCAGCTGGACCCAAGTCTGGAACCTATGAGAAGCACCCGACTCGGGGTGTGACAAGGATTCTGCAGCACATGGGTAGGGTCTAACACCAAGGGGGCAGTTGTGCTCACAGGGGAAGTGCTGTATTAATGAGAGGAAGGACCAGCCAGTGGGACCAAGTGGGGGGTGGGGGGTGCAGAGACGCTACCAGGACCCAAGGAGTGTGGCGCTTGGGAGCAAGAGGACAGGCTTTTCAGAGCAGAGTCGTTCTGTCAAGCACTGCTCACACAGACAGGGTGAAGCCAGACGAGGACCACAGATGTGACCACAGCCAGTGCTATCCACATGGAATGGGACTGACAGAGGAAGTGCACAGGGCCACCCCAGTCTACTCAGAGCTCCAAGTCCGACCGCAGTGCTGCCCCCTCTTGGAATCATGGTTCTTTCTCTACAAATGAAAAGCTGCAAACCCCCTCTTATAGATGTTACTTAGCGGCTTGCTCAATGCGTCGGTGCCAATGGTGGTGATCGTTACTGGGCTGGAGATGCAGCGCAAAGTACAGTGGACCCCAAGGTTGCTGTGTGGATACCAGGGTGGCCTGGGCTCAGGGTTCCATCACAGCATGTCAAAAACAACAAATAAAAGGGACAATTATGACTAAAACCAAATATGGCTGTGTTTTGTTGGGACGTCCTCTCAAGGCTCTGCTATCTACTCAACTCTCGGGTCACTTCTACTCCTACTGTAAGCCTCCACCACCTCCCCTTGACCTTGAACTGAGAAGTCACTGTTCATTCCTGTCATTCGTCCCAGTGATACTACCTTTCTTATTAAAATCCTCCGATAACTTCCCAGGGCTCTTAAGATGAAAACGCCTTCCTAACATGGCCAGGAAGGCCCTGGATCCCCCATGCCAGCTTCTATCTTTTCCTCCTCCTCTTCCATTACAGATATGCAGGGCACTGTGTTCCTTCCTGCCATAGGGCCTTTGCATGGCTGGTGCATGCGGCCAACCTTGACAAGAGTGCTTTTCATGAGAGGGAAGCACCTTTCCTTTCTCCACTGCTAGCTGCTTCCCAGTGAGATCTTAGCTTACAAATAAGTAATTCCTTGGAAATGGCTGTTGGGACCCCATGAAGGTTGGCACTCTTTTAGGCCTTGCTGTTTTTCTTTCTCTCTGACCCCCCCTTGGTAATTTCCTGTTTTTTAAAAAAATCGTCTGACCTTGCTCTTCACCAAGCAACCTGAGGGCACAGAGGTGAGGCTGTATCCATAAAGCAGAACTAAAGGAACCCATTACCTCACAGTCACAATAGTGCCCCTGGCAGGGAGGCAGGGAGGCAGGGCAGACTCCCCTACAGACAAGGAAAGGGGATCTGACAGCCCCAACAGGGCTCACTATGCCTGGCTGTGCCCACCAGACCAACTGCTTTGGGCACCTTGCTGTCTCATAGGGGCTGACCACAGTCCACTCACCCAGAATTCAGGAAGTAAAACACACAGAGCTTCTCTGGCAGGGTCTCCGACAGCCGCTGTGCATAGTCCACGATGTTATCATGCAGGTACCGGCTGTTGGTGTTCAGCATCTGGTTCTGTTCATGTGCAGCTTGGACCACGAGAGGGTGGCAGTGCCCCACTGCGAGAGGGTCCCTTATGTTATGTGGCCCACAATTTGCTCAGCCATCCACTAAGCCTCCCCAAGGTCTAATCCCTGCAGCCGCCCAGGAGAGATGCAGTTAATGGAGGGAGAAACAGATTCTGGAAACGAAGATCTAGAAAGAATTCTCTGAGATTCCAGGAGGAAAGATCCTCGGCAGGAGCCCTATGGAGAAAGCCCACGACTTCAGGACAGCGTCTTAAGACCTTCTGCTCCACAGACGCAGAGGGGGCAGAGTGACTTTCCAAGGATCTGACTTTACCAGTAGGGGGTCTGAAGGTAAGTAAGCCCGATTGCCAGGGCCACGGATGACAAGCATGAGCACCCTTGGAGACCTTGTCCTACTTCGCACACTTAAATCAAGTCACACAAAGTGTAAGAAACACCTGGGGGTGGGTGCCCAGTGTCACATCCATTGTTTGGATAAACAAAATGAAGGCGAGAGAGGTTATTTGCTCAAAATCACCCAGTGAGTAAATGGAAGCCAGAGATCTGAATCTAAGAACTTGAACTGAAGCGTCAGTGCTCACGCTCTACTTTCTACACTTCCAGTCTGCACGCTAAGTCCCGGCCCAGCCTCTCCTCCCTCAGCCCGGCTTGTTGTGTGGATACCAGGGCGTCAGTGTGGGAATGCCACTCCCACTGCCCAACAGCGCTGAAATGGGCAGCGGGGCTGAAGCCAGGGCTGTGCTGCACCCGGGCTGCAGCGGGTCCCTGATGCTCTCAGACTGAGTCATGGTTCTAAAGAGGCCAGATCCACACTGTACTTGAACCTGGGCTCCACCTAGTTCAGCTTCGAGCCCGGGTCTCTGTACGTGGCTCTGCAACCTTGGGGTCAGCCCGGCACAGGTCACAGCCTCAGCTTCGCTCCTGCCCGAGCGAATACTGACCATGTGCCACGTTGCCGATGCAGTCGAGGTACTGTGCCCCTTGCTCGTCGTACAGGTACTGCCCTTGGCCACGCACAATCCTAACGGGAGCCTCGGGGTAGAAGAGTTTGCAGGACGAGCTGTGGGGACAGGCAGGGAGTGGGCGGCCACACTGGTAGATCTGAGAAGAAACTTTCACCCTCGCACGCCGCCTCCCCCTCACGACCCCTCCACAGGAAAGGACGCGGGGCGGGCCGTCGCTGGCGCCACGGAAGGCCCGCTGGCCTGCGCTTCGGCACGTGCTCCAGGGAGCCCCTGGGGACTGGGCAGGCGGCGCTGCAGGGCGCCCACGCGCGGCGGGACGAGGCGGAGCTCGGCCCTCACGCCCCGCGCGCCTCCCTGGCCACCCTCCCCAACCCCCGCCGCCACGTCGCGCCCGGAGCCCCTCCGCAGGCCTCTGCGGCGGCTGTGCACGGCCCGCCCGTTCTTCGGAACTGTCAGCCCCTCCCGGGTCACGCGGACCAGTGCGAGCGCGGCGCTCCCGGGCGACTGGGCAAAGGCCGTGTCAGGCCTTCTCCGGAACAGCAGCCCGGGCTGTGGGGGCCGGGCGCGGGGTTGGGGCGGGCTGCGTGCGTCCTGCGTACCTGAGGAGCCGCCGCCGCAGGGCTAGCGTGTCGGCTTTGGCGCGCTGGGCGCCCGCCATGGTTTCGCGCAGTCAGTCGGCGCGCGACGCGGCGCAGGGGGACCGCCGAGGCCCCGCCCCGCCACGAGGCCCCGCCCCGCCACGAGGCCCCGCCCCGCCACGAGGCCCCGCCCCGCCACGAGGCCCCGCCTCCCAGCTGCGAGTCCCGCTTCCGCTCCCGGGCGCGCGCGGTTGATCCCTGCGCTGCCGGGAGCCTGCACCACGCCCGGTGACGCCCTGCCTGCTGGGTGCCCGCCCGCTGGGGGTTGCTCTGATGGCAGCTGTGCTTCTTCCCGCGCTGGAGGGCCGCCTCCCCACGAGGCACAGCGCCCCGCGCGTGGCAGGAACACACGGCCGCGGCCACCGTGGCGTGGGCAGAGGCGCGGTCCAGGCCCTGGGTCGTGCATCCTGTGGCCGCAGCGTGGCCGTCTTCGAGGCTGTCTGGCTGCGTCCAGCTCGCGAGACGCGGGCTCTCCGGAGGCGAGGCAGGGCTGCGCGGCCCGGTGCGCTCGGGTTCTTTACCGAGGCTCAGCGCCTTCCACGTGTAACCGCCCCTCATGGCCCTTCCCGCAGCTCCAGCCTCGAGGGCTGTGTGCGAGACAGCGAGATCTGCTCCGGCCCGGCCGCCAGGGCTGTCTTCTCCCCGGGCCCGGCCAGCGCCTCACCTGTTCCGGTTGTCCCCGGCCGGGAGGCTGCCAGCGGGCGGTCATACCTGGCTGGGCGCTGCTGGGCTCAGGTTGCGCAGCTTCTCTTCCTCCCAGCGTGGGCCAGAGCTCGCCTGCCCGGCACCTCCCTCTCTCACCTTTGGGCCACTGAGGCCGGAGAGCCGGGGGCGTGGGCGGGCCAGTTTGGAGCCCGCAGGACATTCTCAACGCGCTTCCTGGGGTGACACTAGTGGTTCAGCGGGCTGCGCTGGCATTCCAGACAGCTGCCATTCTGGGCTCTGTCTGCAGAGTGCCACGCGTGTCCCCTGTCACTGTGACCATCCAGGGCAACAGCTGCACTTTCTGCAGTGTCTTAGGCATGGGGAGGCACCCTTCCCCTTCCCCCAGCGGGTTGGGACTCCAGCTCAGGGTGATGGCTGTGGGTGCCTTCTAGGAAAGTGTGAGGAAAGAGGGACAGGACTGTGGCCCTGGGGACTAGCTTAGCTGTTACGGCACACAGCAGGACTCCGCAAACATGCTTCTCCCTGCGGGAAGGGGTTGTGTGCTGAGCCCCAGCCTGCTCTGGAGGCTCAGCCATGACCCCCTGGGACCTGGGACAATTTCTGTAGCTTCTGTTGCTACCAACCTCCCAGAGGAGCAGCAGGCCCGAGAAAAAGGGTTGCGGCCACAGGGGGCAGCAATGAGCCAAGCATGGCCCACTGCCCATGCAGTGGGTAGAGCCCAGAAAGTGAGGTCGAGAGCATGTGGCTTCCACCTCTAAGGCCTAACTGCAGATGTCCAGCATCCTGGGGCTCCCCTGGGGGGGGGGACGTGCCCTGCCAAACTATTCTATTTCTAAAAGAGATCAGAGGCCATCTGTGCCCAGGTGCAGGTTCACATCTACCACCCCATCCTGCATCACCTCCAGTGGTGAGTGCCCACCCTAAGTGCCAGGTCCCTGTGTAAAGTGGCCACAGCGCCACTGCTGTTAGGTTCCTCAGTGGCAGGAAGGAGAGGGACAAACCAGAAGGTGTGGGACTCTAGAGGAGCCATGTGTGGGCCGGGCCAGGGGCCTCTCCCCCAGCAGCTCCCCCAGCCGTGCTACAGCATCATGTCCCACTTCCGGCTTCCCTGGTGACCCAGGGGACTGGCTGGGCAGTGTGGCTTGCTACTTATTGGACGGAGGCAGGGCCATGGCCAGCTTTTTCCTCATTAGCCAGGTATGGGTGGGCACTTCTGCTTAGCTGGGAGGCCACATATCAGGGCTGGGGGAGCTGCTTGTACTGTGGCTTCCCCAAGCCTGGGACACTGGGCTGTGGTGAAGTGGGCACACTGTCTGGGTTAAGGGTCACCAGGGGCAAGGTGGGCGTGGAAAGGCATCCTGCAAAGTTGATCCAAGCGGCAAATACTGCTGTCCCACTACACAGAGGGGCAGGTGACATTTCCTAAGGCGGCTGTGACAAGGTAGACCATGCCATAATTTCTCCTGAAGTATCATGTGGACAGCACTCCCTCTGCAAAGTGGGCTCTGCCTCCTCAGGCCGGGTGAACCTCTGGCAGAAGCCGGCACCATACTGTGTGGCCACAGGCATGGTCATAAGGCGGACCATGCCCTTCTGGCCCACCTGGTCTATTTACCCTCAGAACACAGCCCCCATGCAGTGAGGAAGCCCAGGCCACACAGAAAGACCCCAAATGGGACCTCTGTTTGTCCTTGTGGATGGGCCTTGTCAGCCAACAGATGTGCGAGACCTGGAATGAAAACTGCCCACCTGTGTCCATTAACGCTCCAGAAAAACACTTTTTTTTTTTTTTTCTTTGAGACGGGGTCTCAACGTGCAGCTCAATGGTTTTTAACTCATTACGTAGCCCAGGCCAGCTTCCAACTCGCAGCACTCTTCTTGCCTCAGCCTCCTGAGTGCGGGGATCTCAGGTGTGTGCCACCCACCCAGCCGTATCTGAAGGTAACAAGCTTCGGTGTGGATTGCATGCAGCAGTCACTGGTAACCAGAGTGGAGGCCACAGGGGCTCAGCTCAGCGACATGAAGCCAGTGGCCCAAAGGGCTCTGCTGATGGTGGCAGCCAGAGATGTCATCCCCACTCCACTGTCTGATCCTGTGCTATCTCCTCTGGCTTTTGGGATGGTTCTCACACAGGGGTGTCCCTGTCTCTTCCCAGTGCTCAATGGCCAAGGTGAAACCTCAGCCAGAGGTGGCCAGGACCTTGGCAAGGACAGGCACACGCAGAGACACGGTGGTGTTTATTACATGAGCAAACCCATCTACACGGGGGAAGAAGACAGCTCGGGCTGGGCTGCCGGGAGCCCCTGCGCAGGCCTGCGGGACCAGCCTTGTACCTCGCTTCATCTGCACAACTCGCCAGCAGGCACCTTGCTGCCAGGCTGCCCACAGTCCTGGCTGGGAGGCTCGGGGCCAGATGGACCATCTCCTCAGGGGCAGCAGCACCCGCTCCTGTCTGTTGGAGTGATATGGAAAGTCACAGGCAGTAGCAGCTGGTCCAACCTGGACTGTCCACCGCCGCTCAGGAACCCCAGGCACCCGCAGCTGGCTCTCCATGCCAGCAACCGCAGAGCCGGGCCTGGACGCAAGTTCTTGCAGCTTCCCGAGCAAGCCAGGCCAGCACCGGGAGCTTTCAACAGAATGCCCCCTAGTCAGTGGCAAGCGCCCACAGTCGTGTCCTGCCCCGCTGAGCCAGGGTCCAGGGTAGCCACCTGTGGCTGAGGGGGCAGTGACGTCTGGTTGGATCTAATGTGACCGGGCTTCTGGCTTGGGGCACAGCTCTTGTAAGGTGGAGGCCAGCCATGTCTGCTAATCAGGTGACCGGCAGCCCAAGCGGAGCAGGCACTGTCACTGTTGTCTCCATCGGGGCCAGTGGACCCTGCAGTGCCGCCAGCGCACACTGTCCGCCTGCCTCGCTCTCTGCCACTGCCAGGCTGCTTGCTCCCTCCAGGGTCCTAGGCCATAGTGGTGCATTCCACAGAAGATCAATATATTACTGTTTTGTTTTTACAATTAAGAGGGTCCACGCAGATCTGTACAGGTGGCGAGCTGGGCCTGGGATCACTGGCAAAATAGGGGAGAAGAGGTGATGAGGGCGCAGGGCATCCCCAGAAACCTGGCGCTGCCTCAGCACTGAGCCACCTGTGCTATTGTCCCACTGTCCTTTCAGTGGGGACTTGGGACAGAGTTCTGCAGGTCCTGGTGGCTCTTCAGGGGCTGGGCTGGTGCCTACGCAGCCCCATGTGACCAGCAGGACCAGTGGCATGCAACATGCAGGACCACAGCCCCAGTGTCCATGTGGCCAGGACAGGGATGTGTGAGATGCTGCAGACCTCCAGAGCTCCAAGCCTGACTTGCCCTCTGTCCCTCTGATCTATCCCCATTCCTCCAGACCCGCCCTGGGGTCGACCCTCACAGTACCTTATGCCAGCAGCCAGGCACGGGCAGCCCATCTTGTCCCTGGAGAGAGAAGAGATTTGAGTGGCAGGGATGGGATCTGCTCGCCTCCCTGCCCCCGCACCCCCACACCCCACCCATCTCCCCATGGGAGATGCAGCTGTGGAGCTGCCCCATGGGGCCTCCAGGTCTTCCTGTGCGTGCCCAACATGGACCGGCTAGGAGGGCCCACCCCTGGCCCTGGGGCTCTGTGGCCTCACAGTGGTGACTGTGCCTCTGGCCAGGCAGGAGAAGACCTCAGCAGGCAGTGCCTCTAACCCAGTCCCTACCCCTGGCTGGCTTGAACAGCAAGCAGGGTGGGCTCAGGGGCACGCTGGCCTGTAGTAGGGCTGTCAGGGCATGGCAGTGCCCTTTTGGTTTGGGGGCTGGGCACAGAATGCAATGACCTGGAGAGGACCAAGTGGGAAACACTCTACTCCACTCCAAAGCACAGGGGCAGGCGTAGACACCGGGCACATGGCCTCTGCCAGGCACTAACGGGAGGGTGGAGGGCAGAACGGACTGGCAGGCAGGGGCAGGCAGGGAGGGGACAGAGCCACGCATGGACACAGCCATGTAGGAGGGCCAGGGCACACACAGCACACAGCTGGCCATGCTGCCTACCGCAGGGCAGGGCCCACTGCCCCTCGCTGGGCTCTGGGAGCCAGGTGGCCCTTGCCGGCCTCCACTTCTGGTGTGATCCTGTTCAAAGACAGAGGCTGACCACCGGGGGGTGACAGTCTGGCTACCCTGTGCCCTGGCCGTGATTGCCTTCCTTGGTCCCTCTCTGTCCCCTGGGCCTTCTCACTATGGTGCTCTCCTACTGCATGGAGGTGGGGGATCCAGGCATGGAGGCCAGAGGACCAGTTGGGGTCACTGGCACTGGGTGGGCCCAATGTGTCCTACCAGGAGACCCTCTCCCTGGCCTTCTACGTGGGGTGGCCAGTGTCCTGTCTATGTTGAGCTCCTGCCTATGCAAACTGTGCCAGGCACTGGAATGGGCACTGGGAGGCAGGAGAGGAACCACTGGGGAAGGGGAGGGAAGAGCTAAGGTCAGGCAAAGGCTGCTTCAGGAGGCAGAGGAGCAAGGGAAAGAGGTCCGGGGGAGCAACGTGGCTCCAGAGAAGCCTGGCCCGAGCCCAGAGGGGTCATGGGCATGCACCCCTGGCTCTGACCTCTGCTGCTCGCCTGTGACTGTCATACTTGCCAGCTTCTGGGGTGCCCACCCCTCTGTACCTCTCACTTAGGATGGGGTCCCACTCATGCCAGGCCTGGCCCGAGCTGAGGAAGGGAGAGAAAGTGGCCCTGGCAGGCTCTCTGTCTCCAGAGAAGGGACTGTCCTGGAAGTGACCATGACATGGCTGTGGTGGCCCAACACACGCCCAGTGAGGGGCTGGTATGGCCTGTGGCACTTGCAGCTCAGCTTGGGCTGGGCCTGTCCAACTCTGACACATACCACAGGACATGGCTGGTCTAGGCCTGGTGGCCCCGGCTCTCCCTTCTGGCCCTTCATTCCTTTCCGGCCGGGGATGCCTCGCTCTCCCTGCAGGAGAATGGGGTGATGGGTGACCACGGTCCTGGACTTCCACAGTCCCCTGTAGCCCATGGCCTATGGCCGCCCCTCCATCCTGCTGCCTCCTCCCCCTCTCACCTTCTCCCCACGCTCGCTCTGGTCACCTTTCTCTCCCCGGGGTCCAGGGAAGCCCTGACAGAAAGACAGAGGTTAACCAGAGGACAAAGCTGAAGTCCACTGCTTGGCCCCTTTGCCTCTGCAGTTCCCAGCTGGCTGGCCATGGCTCCCTTTCTCCTGGGACCGTCAGGTTAGGCTGCCAGGTCTGTGGGTGCCAGCTCTGCCTTCTCTGCAGCTGGCCACTGTCCCTGTACGCGAGTCCCAGGGACACAGTCTATGTCACCATCTTTGCCAGATCGAGAAGGGGTAGCCTCTGATCATTAGCCTTAGCTGAGCTGTGTGGACAGTCATCTGTCCCTTGTCTGTCCAGCCAGCCAGCAGAATGAACCATCCGCTAGGAGCTGGGCTGCATCCCAGGTGCCAGGGACAGGAGTTCACCATGTTCCCTTACTTGCTGGTATCTCATGGTGGGTGGCTGAGGGCAGAGGACTGGGGAGGTGCAAAGCAGGGTGCAGGGCTCTCGAAGAAGCGCTGCTCTGTAAGAGTGGGGGGTCTCAGGAAGGCCCTGAGCAGTGTGTGATTGCTGCTTGCTCTGCAGAATGAGGGTCTGCACTTGCCAGGTGGAACAAGTGGCCATGCCCTTGAGATGCCACCTGGGGTGCTGGCCACGAAGGCAGCTGGGACTGTGAGCATGGCCCATGGAGCCTCTGTAGCTCCACCCCATGCCTTCTCCCTGGTGGTCCACTGAGGAAACCCTGCTTCACCCCTCTTCCCTCTCCAGGCTGGACACAGATGGAGCCTGCCCAGGAGGGCATCCAATTCCTGCAGCCTGGGGGCTGCACCATGTGGCCCTCCCCTGCCTGGTGGAGTGCAGTCTCTGCACAGCGAGGCGCTATCGTTCCTCTGGGGCTGGGCCCAGGGAGCCCCAGGGGTGGAGCTGCTGGCTTTGCTCCACCTCCAGTGATTCCCACTTGGGGACAGCAGAGAGCAGCAAGTTAAAGGCTGGATTGAGGGCTGGCAAGATAGCTCAGCTCAGTGGACTAAGTGCCTGCGTTGGCAAGTGCAGGGACCAGAGTTCGATCCTCCATCCTGCATCCCATGCCGGTCCCACCCCTGGGGCGTGCTGAGCTGGTGACCAAGTCTGGGCATGGTGGCACATGCCTGTAATCCCAGCACTTGCCAACGCAGGGGGAGGCTGAGGCAGGAGAACTGTTGTGAGTTCGAGACCAGCCTGGGCTGTAAAGTGAGCTCAAGGCCAGCCTGAACTGCATAACAAGACGCTATCTCAAAACAACAACAAAACAAAGGCTGAGTTGTGTTGGTGCAGTTGTGTCTTGGTACAAGTGTGAAGCGTCTGGACTTTTCAGTTATGAGTCACTTTAAACCATTTTATACTATGTTTTGATTATGCTGTTCTACCAATGCAGCATAATCAAAGCCCAATACAATCAACTCTGGGCCACTGCTTCTCCTTGTCCTCTTCCTGCAGTACTGCAGGCCCAGAGAAAGCCTCGGACCTCCCCAGGGTGCTGTGACAGGCTGGTCACGGGCCCCTCACACCCCTACTACTGTGCCTCATCTGTCCACCCCCCACCCAAGCACCACCCATTCACCCCTCCCTGGCCCACCCAGGTGCGGCCCATCCGCCCCTCACCCATTCATGCATTCCTCCATCCTTCCATCCATCCTGTCATCAACTGTCCAACATCCATCCATAATCTGCCCATCGTCCATCCACAAAGCACCGCTCTAGGCTGTGCGTGGCTTGCCACAGAGGACACAGGGAACCAGGCAGCAGTAGCCACTTGTGCTGGCCAGGTGACCATGTGAGCAGCACAGGGCAGAAAAATCGCGGGTGGGACCCAGTCACTTGCAGTGAACCACGGAGAACTTACATCGAGTCCTGGCTCCCCAGGTCTGCCCTGTGGAGAGGAGAGAGGTATGAGCACTGGGAAGGGGCGCTGGGAGCCAGCCCCATGCCTGGACCACGTGTGGCACAGGGAGGCTGGCTGCAGGCACCACAGAGCTACGGGGCTGCCCCTCCAGGGCTGGGGCACTGGGGGCTGTGGCTGCACAGGGCGTCCAGGGCAGGGGCTTACCTTCTCTCCTTTGGTTCCTGGCAACCCAATAAGGCCTGGCGGGCCAACAGGCCCCTGGGTGGCAAAGAAGCCAGTCAGAAAGAGTGACAGTTACAAGATGCCCTGCCTTTGGGGGCAGATGAGGCTCGGGACACTTACGGGCGGGCCTCTGGGGCCGCTCTCGCCTGACTCCCCCTTCTCTCCCTTCGCTCCGTCCAAGCCCTGTAGTGAAGGGCAGATGAGTCAGTGGGCAGGACAGAGAGCAGGGCCTGAGAGGCGTGCAGGCATGGGCCCGACGGGCTGGCTGCCTCCTCCAGGGAGTGTGACGGGGAGGGCGGGGCTCTGTGCCCCTCTTTCCCCATCTGCGGGCTCTCTGGAGTCTGCGAGAAGCACGACGGCTGCCACCAACCAGTTTTCTGAGCCCCGGCCTTGGGCCCAGCCCCGGACAGTAGTTGCCCCTGCTAGACCTGACCTGGGGCAGCCCCGGACAGAACAGCCTGCAGCAGCACGTCGCACTGGGCCACGTGCTCGCCTGCTCAGGTTGGGCTTCTGCTGCCTGGGTCCCCTCCCAGCCCCGGAGCTGGGGTCAGAGAGGAGCTCTCCTCCTCCAGGGTGAGTGAGGAGCAGGCGTAACAAGACCTGTCTGTGCCAGGCAAGATGGTGGAAAAAAAAAAGAAAAAATTAAGAACAGAGAGCCTGATGTTAGGGCGCACACCCCAAGCTGAGTGGTAAGATGTGTGTACAGGGAGAGCTGGAGCTGCTGGAAGGAGCAGGGTGGTGTGAGAGCAGGGGTGGGTGAGCCCAAGGGATGAGGGTGATGGGCTGAGCAGTAGTGAGTGGAACGCGGCACACAGCTTGAGGACAGCGGGGAGGTCACTGTCCAGGCCTGGGCATGTTGCAGCCCCAAGACTCAGCAGGTTCCAGTTTGGGGTCTACCACTCACCTTGGGACCCTGAATTCCCTGGAGGCCCTGGAGGAAGAGAGGTCAGATGTGGCAGCCGGGCGCAGGTTCGGGGCCAGGGCCCTGTCTTGCAGCGGCCTCACGGCTTCAGGCCACTCCCTGGCTCTGGCCCCTGTGAGGCCTCCTGTCCTCCCTGGGTTGGCTTCTCGCCCAGGCTCACCCCCCTCATGGGCCCCCAGCTGTTGAAAAGCCAAGCTGTTCTTACCATGGGTCCAGGGGGGCCTGGGGGTCCAGGGGGCCCTGCTTCTGCTATGATCTGGGCCTGGAAGGTCAGAGATGGGTTAGTCACCCCTGCCTACTGTCTCTTGCCTGCCCCCTCCCAAGAGTCACACTGGCAGACCACCCTGGGCTGGGCTTCTGCCACCCCCACTGCAGCCTGTGGAGGGACTTCTTCGGCCTTCCTTCGGTCCTCCACTGCCCTGCTGGGTCAGGCCAGGTGCTCCTCCGCTCCGGGCCTGGGCTGGGTGCTGGGGGAGCCCCAGGGCCCAGAACCCCTTACCGGGCTCTCCTGCAGGCTCTCAGATGCTGAGTCTCCCTTCTCTCCCTTGGGGCCGTCGGTGCCCTGCAGGATGAGTGGCCATGAGCCCTTTCCAGCCTTGCTAAAGTCACCCGTGGTGCTCGGTGACCTCCCCTTTGGTCCCTGCCTCTGCAGCCTCAATGTTCCGAATGCCACGATATGCCCTGGCTGGGGCAGAGGTGTGAGAGGGTGAGGCGAGGGACCTGGGCTCTGAAGCAGGGACCCAGGGCCAAGGCCCAGTGCTGCCTCCTGCTGACTGACCTGCAGGGTGGGTGGTGGCAGAGGTCAGAGGTACCCACTGCCACTCACCCTATCTGACCATGGTGACAGCAAGCTCACTGCACCCAGCCACACTTAGCCTTGTCTGTCTTCTCTCACGGGAGCAGGAGTTATTACTCCTATTCTACTTATTTTAATTTAGCATCTTGCTATGTAGCTCCGGTTGGCCTTGAACTCACCAATGTCCTGCCTCAGCTTCCTGAGTGCCGGGGTTACAGGCATACATACCATGCCCAGCTCATGACCATTTTAGCTTTGAGGAAACTGAAGCTAGAGGAGGTGAGGTCATTGTCTAAGGTCCCCAGGGTCAGGAAGCGATGAAGCACATGCAAACCTGGGCAGCTCAGGCGGGAGTGCAGCCCAACCACGAGGCTACCTTGCTGCCACCAGGCAGGTGCTGGATGTCCCCTTGCAGCTGTGCCTGTCCTTCCCTGAGCTTTGTCTGCTGTCCCTGCAGCCCCCACCAGCCATGCTGGGATGCATACACACTCATAGTGGGACCCCCAGCTTAGCAAGTGGGCAGGCCCAGCCCGGCACCTACCGGAAGACCTGATAAGCCCATCTCGCCTGCTTCCCCTTTGGGTCCTGCCGGCCCAGGCTCTCCTGCGTCTCCTTTTGGTCCTTTGGGGCCCTGAAGGCCACAAGATCACAGAATCAGTGGGGCTCAGGGACACCCCTTCCCATTTGCCCTGCACTGGACAGACCAGGCCAGACTCCCACTTCCTGCTGGGGGCCCCTACTTCTAGCCCAGCAGCCCTGAGCCTTGCCTGAAAGCAATGGGGGAGCTGCTATTGAGAAGTGGGGATCCCCATGCTACCTCCCTGTGACTTGGGAGCAGCCTGAGGCAGGGAGGGAGTGGCTTGTGTGCCTGGGCAGCCCCTTTAGGGCACACATGGGCTGAACTCCATGCTCTGGTACCTGGGCTTGGAGTCACAGCTGTCCTCCATTCAACGGGTCTTGGCCAAAGTGTGCCACCCAGTAGGGCCCGGCAGTAGACACACTCACAGGCATCAAGTGACACGGAGGATATGCGCACATCTACGTGGGACACACACACACACACATACACACACACACACACACACACACACACACACACACACCCCACGCCCCGCACCAGCATCACCAAGGAGGTTGGACGTCCACAGACCTTCTCCCCATCGATTCCTGGGGCACCGGGCAGGCCGAGCTCACCCTGCAGGGGAAGGGGGCAACAGCGAAAGGACACATAGCTTCCTCACCCTAAGACAGGGCAGCGGGCTGGACAAGGGCCTTTGCTGGCTGGGTGAGAGGCTTCCAGCAAGGCGTCCGGTGCCACCACCTTGTTTGCTGGGCTTTAAGGGGCAGCTGCATACGAGGCTGTCACCTCCAGGTTGTTAGGTCACAGTTCTAGAAGCTGAGGCTTGAGCCCAGAACCCAGGGACAGTGAGGCCGGGTCCAGACCCTGCCTGACTTCGAAGTCCAGGGCTTTTTTCTAGACACCTGGGAGGGTGCAGGGAACAGGCATAGCATAGCGTCAGTGATGCACTAGCCCATCCAGGTTCAGCCAGCCAGCCTGGGAGGAGACTTAGGGCTGGGCAGTGGGCAGGCACCAGGGGCTTGCAAAGGGTACTTGCTTTGGCTAGAAGGGGGCCCCAGAACTCAGGCTGGAAGCAGGAGGGAGTCAGGGGCTGGAGGAGCTGGCAGAGGGGACAGGCAGGAGGACACCGGGTCCCAGGGACCGTGTAGCTGCACTTGTACTGACCTTGGCTCCGGGGCTCCCTGGAGGCCCTGGGGCTCCCTGCGGCCCTGGAGGACCCTGTGTGCAGAGTCAAATGTCAGTGGTTGGCAGAACCCTCTCCATCTGGGCTGCAGCCCTGTGCATGCAGCTGAGCCCCAAGCCTGGCCCTGCCTAGCAGGCTGGAAGAGGCCAGCGAGGTGACGGCCGGCAGTGACTAAGCTCTTGGGCCCTCTGGGGCCGCAGCCCACAGTCCTCAGTCCAAACGTGCTCCTGCTCAAGGCTCTGTGGTGGCTCCTTATCAGTGCTCAAAGCGAGTGTGACCCCAACTGGCACCAGGGCCAGCAGCGATCTCCCTGCACAGCAGCCTGTCCATGTCCTGTCTCGTCTGCCTGCCTCGTGAGTTCTGACTGGTTTTGTCCCTGCCGCCTCGGTCGCACAGGCAAGCGATGGGGTCTTGGGGCCCACAAGGTCGGGCCCGTGCCCAGGCACTGGTCCTGACTCACCATGGCTTAGCAGCTTCTAAAGGACTTGGCCATCAAGCTCTGGTCCTCGCCCCCAACCACCTCTCCCAGCCTGCCCTCCTGCTGACCTCTCAGATGTCCAGGTCTTACTTCATTCTATTCTTCCTGCTATCTCTAGGTCTGGGCCCCGCACCCACCTCTCTGGTGGGCTCCCTGACACTCCTGAGCTGCTCTCCTCCCGTCTCTGCTTTCTTCCCCTACTCAAGGCTGCCTGCTGCCATCACATTGAGGCAGTCAGGCAGCCAGCATCCTACGACCAGCTTCCCTGCAACTCACAGGGCTTTTCTCACCCATCCTGGCCACCCGGGCTACCCCATACACATGCACGCCCTGAGCCATGTCACGTCCATCACATTGCGCAGGCCTGCCTGGCCCCATGACCATCTACCTGTGTTTCCTCAAGCCTGGTGAGGCACAGCTGCAACTAACTGAAGCTGGGCTCAGGGACCAACACCCACCTCCTGCCCACCCAGCTCCTTTCCCTGGTGCCCATGAGCAGCTGGCGCCCAGCCTGTCTCTGTGGTGGGTCCCAGTTTGCCAGTCCCTGGGCAAGGCTCAGAGGGCACATGTGTCCCCGGGTTCCTGGGACAGGCTTTGTCCTCTTGTCCCTAGTGGTCCCCAGCAGGGCTTGGAGACACTGCTGGTTCTGGCCTCAGGAAATACTCTGCCTTTGGGGACCTCAGGGCCCCACCCTACACTGCACAAGGGTCCCCACAGCACTGATTATGGTTTCAGGCACCAAGGAGACAGAGGTCTGCATGCTGTGCTGCCCCATCCCAGGAAGACAGCCAGGTTAATTCTCTCAGAGCCTTGATCTCAAGGGGCATCCCGGGCCCCATGAGCACTACCTGCAGGGCATCCAGGATCCTGCCGTCATAGTCGATCACCACCGTGTCTCCCTGCTCACCCTTGAGGCCTGGGGCACCCTGGGAGAGAGAAGAAGCCACTCGGGAAGACGTGCTAGTGTGTGGAGTGGTGGCTGTCCCTGTCTCTGCCAGCAAGGCTCCTCCCAAGGGACTCTGATGGCTGGCCCTGCCCTCCCAACCTCTGCAGCAGGCTGCACTTGTGTGCACCAAGACCCCTGTGTGTTCTTGTGTATGCACACATGTACACGTGCACATGCTGCACACTCCATGTCACCCCTGCCCAAGAATTCAGACATTCTTGGACACCTGAACCTCACACCCCACAAAAGGTGTGGCCAGGGCCAAACCCTCATGGGGGGACAGCCAGGGTTAGGCTGCTTCCCACGTGGCTCTGACCCACGCCACACGCATGGAGCTCTCCAGCTCTGCACAAGCCCCACACCCTGGGCTGACCCAGTGCCCAGCCAGCGGAGCCAAGCCAGCACTTGGGCACCAGGGAACATGGTCACGCTGGTGACACAGCTGAGGGTGGGACCCTGCTGTCCACATAAGGCCGGGTCCTTCAGGCTGATCACAAGAGATGGAGCAACAGGGGCTGGGGGAGCTCTGTGTGGGGAGGAGACGCAGGGCCCCTTCCCTGTGACCAGGTGAAGGCCTGCCTGTGACTGCAGAGAGGAGGTCAGGGAGGCCTGCAGCCACCAGGGCTCCCAGGAGCTCAGTGATGAGGGGTCTCACCCTTACTCTGGCACGTCCACATGTGAACACTGGGTCACACGCGATGGTGTGAAATACAAAAGGACGGATAGGAACAGTTTCTAAGAAGATGCTCAAAGCTCCTTGCCCCTCCCAGTGCCACGGCTGGCTCAGCAGAAGGAGGCTGCTTACCCGGGGCCCTGTGGCTCCCTCGGTGCCTGGAGGCCCAGGATCCCCCTGTGGAGAAGCACAGTTGCAGCTAGGCCTGAGGGACCCTGCAATAGCCCTTAGCCCCACTCCCCGAAAGGGCCAGGCCCTGTGTGCTGGCCTCAAGGGAGGGAGGCTCTACTGGGGCGGGGCTCAGAGCTGGCACTGGCCAGCTCAGGCTGCAGCCTCTTTGGACTCTGGGCCCAGGTGCCCACGCTGGGCTGGTGAGAGGTGGAACCCTAGCCCCGCCCTACTGGCTGTGGGCCTTCTACACCACAGCAGAGCCTGCTAAGGTTACCTTTGGTCCTGGGGCGCCATCCACGCCGTCCTGCCCTCGGGGCCCCACACTGCCTGGCTCGCCCTGCAATGAAACAGTGCTGCAAGCAGGGACCAGCAGTGACAGAGGCTGGGCTGGGGCTGCCCAGGTGGCGGCTGAGAGGGTGCACTAAGGTCATGGCTGCCCCTCCTGGAGCCGCTCTGCAGGTGGCTGGCCAGGACTGGGCGACTTGCAAGGGGCTGGGAGCAGCCGGGGGGCTGAGATGGGCCCTGAGTACCTGGGTGAGCTGTACTGCCCACTCCCCAAGACAAGAGAAGGCTAGGACAGGCACTGGGCAGGTGGCCACTGTGGGGCACACAGGCAGGGCTCCTGGGCAAGGGTCGCACACTTACCTGGGGCCCTGGGGGTCCAGGGAGCCCAGGCTGGCTGGGTGTCCCGTCCTCCCCCTGAAGAGAGAACGGCTGAGACTGTGGCTGTCAGGCCTGGACAGGCTGGCCAGACCCACTAGTTCCCTCCAGGACTGGACATTCAGCCTCTAGGGTGGGGCAGGGGCCAGGTCCTCCTTGTCCCGCCTCCCCCAGCCAGAGTGAGCCCCACAGGCGTTTGCAGAAACAGCTTGGGCAGGTGAGGGAGAGAGCACACATCATTCCTGCACCCACACACGTTTGTTTCTGCATGTGTATTTCTACATTTCCTCAGGTCATCGGGTGCTGCTGGGCTGGCCCACACTTAGGGACCACTGTCCTGGCCCGGAAGTGTGATGAGGAAGGGAAAGAAGCATGTGACAAATGGAGGGGATTCTGCTGCTGCTGCTGAGGCTCAGGTGGGCAGCCCAGCTAGCACGGGCTGGGGAGAGGAGCCTGCCTGCCAGTGGTTCGAAGCTCTGCAGGGCCCTCACCTTCTTTCCGGGAGTGCCGGGCTCACCCTGAAGGAGGACAGGAGAGGGCGAGGGGGTCAGAGCCACAGCAGTGTTCTGTGCCCGACCTTTCTCTTCTGGTGCGGGCAGAACCCACAGCCCAGGGCCGGGGAGATGGCTCAGTAGAATAAGCACTTGCCTGGCAAGTGCAAGGGCCTGAATTCAATCCCCGGTTCCACCAAAAAAAAAAAAAAAAAAGAACCCACAGCTCAGTCAGCACCAGCCTGGACCCCAGCGGGTGGCAGAGTCCACAGCCTTGTCCACTCTGTGACTCAAGAAGAGCTCTGCTCTTAAAAGTGGATAGGAGACTCCTGTGGCTCAGAGGGCCATGTGGCCGTGGCCAAGAGAAGGCCCCAACGCCAGGGCTGGAGGTGCATCCTCTGCTGTCCCTCCATGGCCCAGGGTCTTGAACCCCCTGGCCCTCTGTCCAGCCGTGCTCCCCAAGGAGGGAAGGCAGGAGAGCATGGACGCCCGAGGAGGCTTCAGTGCCACATGGCTAAACGTGTGAGCACATGAAAAGCTGCCTGGATGTTAACAGCTCCGTGCTTATAAGTGCCCAAGGCTGGAAGCACCGAGGTGTCCTCCAGTGGGTCAGCGGGGAAAGGAATGGTGTCGTGGTTGGTGTCTGGATGCCCAAAGCCTCATGCACTTGCGGGGCGGCTTCTAAAGCCTTTGGGTGAGTCCTGGTCCAGTGCTGGGATTACGGGTGTGAGGGCTGCGCCCACCCCAGGGCGGGAGCCTGCAAGCAATATGGGGGTCGGGGGAAGGAGGCTTGTTCTCAAGCTCCCGGATTTTGTCTTGCTGCTTTTGCTGTTTTCCACCGCCAAGAACTCCTGTCCTCTTCCATGCGCCACTCTGTCTGGGAGCCAGCCAAGTATGGACTGAAATCTCCATTAACTATGAGCTAAATAAAACTTTTCTCCCCTAGTTTTGGGCATCAGATATTTTTTCGCAGCAACGAGAGAAAAGTCTAAGTACAAATGGGTACTTAAACAACGGAGTAATATTCAGCCCTGAAAAGAAATGATCAAACGAAGAACAGACAGGGCAGGACTCCAGACACATACTGCAACGCCAGCGACGCCAACATGGACAGGCAACATGCAGTGTGATCCCACTGTGGCACCTGGGCAGGAGAAGCCACAGGGCAGCGGGATAAGAGGATGCCACGGACGGTGGTGGCACGAGGCACTCAACCAGCATCCTGTTGGGTGCAGCAGTGGGGATGCGTGTTACCGCACACTGGAGAGCCCACACCACACTGCCCTCGCACCAGTCATGGGCCTTGGGCTGCGCTGACACGTTGGGGGGCCCCTTGACTGCACCCCACACGTGCCCCTGGGGGGGATGCTGGGAGTGGCCACGCGTGGAGGGCATGCCGGAAATCCCTACCCTACTCAACAGCTGCTCCAGAAAGCCCATCAAACCCACACAGCTAATATACTTTCTACAATTCAACCCTCACCACCTCATGTGAGGTTAACAAAGGAAAGGTTTGTAGCTCTCCTGATTCACAGGCGGGTAAACTGAGGCCTGGAGATACAGTCATCAGCCTGTGGCTGCAGAATTGGTCCTCCCAGCCCCAGGGCCACAGCAGGTCAGACAGGAGCACTCACCTGGGGCCCTGGGGGTCCCTTGGGGCCCTGGAACAAGAGAAGAAAGGGTGTCAAATACCAAGCTAGAAGCTGCGACTTGGCCTATCACCTTCCTTTCCATAAAGGGCGACATCCAGAGGAGAGGCGGGCCAGGTGGGAGCGGCCCTGCGCTGCCCAATGCTGGACTGACTGTGAGCGCTTCACACAGCTGTTGTTCGGGGCTCAAGCAGTGAGCTGCAGACCACAGACCCCCCCCCCCCCGCCCCCCGGATGCTAGACACCGACTACCAGCTGGGCGTCCCGCCCACCACGCGCTTGCTGAGGGCGGGGAGGCAGGCGTGCGCACGCGCGGACCGTGTGGGACAAGGCGGCTGGTCTGGGGTACTGACCACCTCGCCGAGCTGTCCAGGCTCTCCCTTGGGACCCTAGGAGACAGGAGAGAGCTGCGCTGCGGAAGCCCCACCTCCTGCCGTCGCCTTCCTCAGCCCGCCCGCCCGGGCAGGCAGGGCCATCTCCCCAGTCCACAGACAGAGGGGGAAGTGGATGAGTGGCTGGGTGGAGTGCTGGTCAGGGAAGGGGAGGCCTGGCTGCCGGGGCCTGGGGAGACCACTGCTAACGAGTAAGCTGCTGAGGGGAGAGGAGTAGGCTTGGCGTGTCTGACCTTCAGGGCGAGTCTCGGTGAGCCCTGGGCGAGAGAGACTGGGCTAAGGTCAGGGTTGGCCCCAGGGTGGAGCTCTGTCTGCAGGCAGTTTCGGAGGGAGGAGAGAGGCTGGATAACACCTGGCAGGGGCTGGGCTGGACTGGGAAAGGAGCTTGGGAGGAGAGCCCTGCTTGGGGTCAGGGACCAGCTTGGGGTTAGGTCCAAGATCTGGGCAAGCTAAGGGTCTGGGTTAGGGTTAGGTTTTGGGGTTGGGTGGGGCTTGGGTTGGGTCTGGAGTCTGAGTCTGATTGGACTAGGGCTGCGGGTCTGGACTCTTTCATGTTGTGTTTGTGCTGAGGCTGGGTGGGGGTTGGTGCTGAGACCAGTCAGGGGTCTGGGTGAACTGAGCACCGGTCCAAGGTGCTTCTGGCCAGTGCCTTCTCTTACCGTCAGGCCTTGAGGTCCCCTGGGGCCATCTTTTCCCGTGTCTCCAGGAGGGCCCCGTGCCCCAGGGGGTCCAGGGGGCCCTGGAGGCCCTGCAGCTCCATCTTGGCCTTGTTCTCCCTGACAAAGATGGGGTCTAGTGTGAGCCCAAGGGTCCCAGCTCGTGGGGAGGGGCTTCCAAACATGGGCTAGCCCTGTGCCTTCCTGTCCTGGGCCCTTGAGGCAGGCTCCATGGCACAGGCTGCCCTGCTGCCGTGTGGAGAAATGGGTCTTACTCCGTGGTCTGTGTGGCCAACTAGAACCCCTCCTACCTCGAGCACCTGTGCTTCGCTGGCACCTGAAGCCCAGAGAGGGTGCCCAGGTAGGAGGTGGCACAAACTCATGTGAGAAAAAGCACCTGCGTCCTTTCTTCTGGGAAGGAGCCCAAGTGCCTCGGCAGACCTTCACGGCCCGTCCATTCCTGCCTGTTAAAGGTGGTGGAAGTGCTACTTTGGGAGTTATGTCAGGGAGTGGAAGCCTGTGTTTCCATGAAAACCTGTATGGAATGCTCCCAACAGCGTCATTTGCAATAGTTCCAAAACTGGCAACAAGCCCACTGTCCTGCCCTCCTGGAGGTGCAGCTTGAGGAGCTGCAGTGTGTCTGTGTCACAGGACGACTCAGCCGTCAGTGGAAAGGGACAAGCATCGACACATGCCACAAAGTGGGTGCATCTCGGGGGAACCATGCTGAGTGAAAAAGGCCGGCCTGACAAGGTTGGACACGGGAGGCCCACATTTATGTGACATCTTGGAACAGCAGAATAGTTCAGAGGGAGATGAGGGGTTGCTGGTATTCAGTCGGAAAGAGGGAGCTGCCCACAGCTAAGCAAGGACAGCAGACGGAATCCTGGGCAGCGCCACCCAACTCTGCAGGGGAGAGAACACTGCACGGAACAAAATCCACACTGAGCATGCACACAGACGAACGTGTATGGCTGGGGAGGTCCGGGTCAGGCTGGTGGGCTGTGCCAGCGACAGCCTCCTGGGCGTGGGACTGTTCTGTCTCCACACGGGCTGTCAGGAGAACAGCCTGATGACAGGCTCAAGGGCACATGGAATGCTATTTATCTAAAATGCATGTGAGTCTACAAGTACCTCAAAATGAAAAGCTAAAAAAGAAGGCAGTGCCGTGCCACACATGCTCCTGCAGTGACCCCAAGTCTCAGCTCTTGGAGCCAGTGTCAGCATCGGGTTGGGCCCCAGCACCAGAGCCCTTTACCAAGGCCCTGCCAGAAAGGGGCAAAGCCCGCAGTGTGCCCGGCACTGGGCGTGGTAAGGGCACACCTGGTCATGTGGCCTGGAGCTCCCAACCCTGTCATCACCAGAAAGGGAGGAGACTCCTTGCCCAGGGCAGCAAGACCTCGGAGAGCAGCTGCCCACCTCTGCAGTGTGCTGGCTGGCGCCCCTGCGGCCGCACTGTGCAGAGGAGGCTGGAGTGAGAGGGCAGTCGCCTCGGACTACAGAGCTAGGGGCCGAGCCCCTCTGACCAGCAAGGCAACTCGTTTCTTTTAGCCTTTTTTTGTGTTTGTTAATTTTTTTGGCTTTTGGGTCTTGCTAATTTACCTGGGCTGGCCTCAAACTTGCTATTCTCCTGCCCTGGTCTCTTGAGTAGCTTGGATTACAGGCATGTGCCATGGTGCTGGGCTGTGCTGGATACTTTTCTCCATCCACGGCCCTGCTGCTCCTTTGATGGGTCGGAGGCCCTACCCAGGGAGCCATGGGTCTGGACGCTGCTCGTTGAGGCGTCCGAGCAGGTCGGAGAGGAGCTGTCCTCAGTCCCTCGAGCTGGCCCCGTCCTTCAGGACTGGCATGGCTGAGGCCCAGCCCCGGAAACGTGCAGTGAGGCGGGGCGGGGGGAACACAGCAAACCAGCAGGCCTGGGCCTCGAGCGGCCAGTCTACCTTGAGGACACGGGGGCTGTACCCACGACGGTCTCCGCTTATAAAGCCTGGGCTGAGCCGTGGGAAGACCATCTAGGCAGCAAGCGGGTGGTGTGGTCAGAGCAGCAGCAGGGCTTCCAAGAGCCACCTGGCTATTTCTGGGGCAATAGAGGGAGCTCGTCCGGCTCAGAGAGGGTGGCTTGATGGCTGGGAGCAGCCTGCCTGCACCAGAGGTGGCTTTTGTGCTGGCTCCTGCACCACAGGACCCTTGCGGGTCCCCATGGAGTTGGGGCCTCTCTCCCTACCCCTGGACTCCCCTGACTGCCAGTGCCCACCCCCTGCCTCTGGGAATGCTGCTCTTGGGAGAACCTGGCACTGGGAAGACCCAGGTGCTGCCCAGTTGAGCTGCTGTGACTGCGACCACGTGAGGGCCCATCCTTGGCCTCCAGGACCTGGCACCTCTGCCGCATCCACAGGGGACCAGATCTGGTCTGGGAACCTCAGAAGATACTATAATGGACAACTGTCCTTTTAAGGCCCTAAACTTATTGGGGGAGGGGTCACAAATGACCAGAACACAGGGACGAAGGGAAGACCCCATGAAGAAGACAGCTGCTTGTCCACAGCCTCGGAACCCTTTATGGGTGGGCGCTTCTGGCTGGAAGGCCAGCTCCACACAGCCAGCAGCTAGCAAGCTGCAAGGACGACATCAGGGGAGCTCACCTGTGCTTGGCTTGGCCTCTTCCTACCCCCGGCCCCCATCACATCTGCTCTGGGACCAGAACAGCTGTCTTCCATGCACACAGCCAGGCTGGGATCTGGGGCCACTGCCCCAGCTGGCCTCTGGGCCACACTCCTCCTGCTGCCTGTCTATGCCCTGCCAGGTGGTACCCCGCTCCCGGCCTAGCTCCTCCAGGACAGCAGAGGTGAACGCGGGTCACTCACAGACATAGCCGGTGTGCACCACAGCCTGGACCTCCTCTAGAAGTGGACTCCCTGCCTTCAGCTTCTGCAGCTGCCCTGGCTGGCCCCTGCTGTAAATGGGGACCCTTGTCCTGGGCTACCATAGCAACCCTTTGCCAAAATGTCCTTCAGGGTGCCTGCCTTAGGGTCACCAGAGGGGACGCTGATCTGTCCCCATGCTGGGTGTTGACTTTTAGGGCTGCAGTGAATCTTCAAGGCCCTGGGGGGAGTAGTGGCCAGCACCTTGCCTCCCTCAGGTGAAAGTGACTTGGGCAGGCTCTAGTGGCCATGCTGTGCCTTGCAGTCAGACCAGCTGTCCTCAGGGCGGCCTGTCCAGGACCAGCTCTACTGCCCGGTAACGGCAAGCACAGGGAGCTAAACATCAGCCTGATCCTTGCTGTCTGTGTGGGACAGTGGCCTTGGCCCGACCAGGGTACCTGGAGTGCCACGCAGGGGTTCCAGGTGGGGAGGAAGGGTGGCCTCACTCGCCCCTTCCTGGGATGAGCTATGGGGAGCTGGGGCCCAGAGGACACCCTAGAGGCCCACAGTAGAATGACACAGAACAGACCAGGATGACTGGTGCGGGTGGCGGTGTGCCATGCTTACCCAAGGGCCAAAGTCTCCTGGTGCACCCTAGGAACCAAAACAGGAAACAGATCACCTGGAGATTCCCGCGTATTTCCTACCGTGCTTTTGTGCTGTGTTCCATGCCTCATGGTTTGCCTCAATTCTAACAAAAGCCACAGGCAGGCCCTGTATTTATCTCCATTCCTAATGAGGAGACTGAAGCACAGAGTAGCCAAGTAATGGCCTGAGGTCGTACAGCTAGAGATCTGGAGCTTGAAACTGGGTATTTTTTAAATCAATGGCCAAGAGGGCCCAGACATGGTAGAGCGGAGACAGCTGCCGCCGCCATGTCCTCTCAGAATCCCTGGGCCTCACACAGGGAGGATGATGACAGTCAACTGCATTAAGCAGCGCAGGGTGGGATCAGTGAGCTGGGTGGTAGCAGGTGCCACAACACTCAAAGCTGTGCTCTGGCTGTGTGTGTGACTGGCTGCCATCAGCCAGAGCCACCAGGAAGGCAGCGGTGCTGGGCACCACGGTGCCAGCCCCTCCTGACCAGCACAGGTCAGCTCTGGGAGGTTGGGTTTTACTTTATAGGCAGGGAGGCTGAGGGCCACAGAACCAAGCAACCTGCCGGAAGCCACACAGCGGTGGAGCTGGACGGCAATGTGAAGGCTCTGCAGGCACGCCGCCTTGCCCCATCCCACTTCCCACTTCTTCCCACCTGAGGGTGGCCAGAACCTCACAGGGGTAGGGCCGAGGCTATTCCCCAATTCTGAGTTGAGGTCAGGGGATGTGGCCAGTGCCCACCTTCCCTGGAGGCCCTTCGGCCCCACCCTACTAGGTGTCTGCTCCGATCCTCCTCCTGATGTCCCTGTCAGGGACAGGGGACACAAGCCTGCTCTGTTCCCTTCCAGGGCACTTGGCAGGCCCAGCCCTTCAGGGTGCTGTGTTTGACTTTCAGTGCCAAAGGCCAGGGATCTTTCTCAAGGTGCTCGAAGATGGCACTGGGCCCCACGCTTTTTGACGGGCACCCTCCCCGAAGAGCACTTGGGTGACAGCCATGCCTCAAGCTCCAAGCTCTGCTCGGACCCTCTCTCACTGGAAACTGGTCAACTGGAGAAGCGTGGGCCTCTGAAGTTGTTATACCCTGGAGCCGGATTTCAGACTCAACTCTCAGCCAGTTCTCTTGCCAAGTGTGTGAGTCCTACCAGCATTGAAGGAGGTAGGGATTACTGGTCCCACTTTATAGGGGTAGACCTGAGGCTCTAGGAGGGGCTCTGAGCTGCCCCAGGTCACACTCTGGAACTGGCACCTGCAGCAGCCTCCCGAGTCCGGATTGCTTCCGTCATACTTACCTTTTCCCCTTTGGGGCCTGGAAGTCCCTGGAAAAGGAAGGTGGAGAAAGAAGAGGTGTGAATGCGGAGGGGTATGTGGGTTCCTCTCCCGATGGCCCTAAGCTTCTTGGGGTAGATGGACCTGTGACGTCTGGCAGAGCCTCGGGGAGGCTGAGTGGAAAATCCACACACAAGCCTGTTCCCCTTCACGAGCACCGCCCCTGCTGGTCTCATGGAAGTGCCCCGTTTCCTGCAGCCTCAGCATGAGGGAGGCAAGGGTCTGGAGGCCGCCCACGAGGGATGCAGGCCCTGCCCTCCTCCAGGGAGCAAGGCTCCTCACACTCGGTGCACACCGTCTGTGACAGAGGTGAGGAGGTGGCCACCCCGGGAAGCTCCCTGCAGTCTCCAAGGTTGGGTCTCGAAGCACACGCTCCTCAGTGAGGCTGCCTTCCACTAAGTGCCCGCCGCCCAGCAGTCCAGGCCTCTGTCCTGCCACAGCAGACCCTCTCCAAGGTCTATTTTTAGTGCCTGTGTGCCCTCGGCATCTTGCTCCTCTGCTGAGGAGGCCGTGGGTCCCAGGCTCTTGCAGCAGGTGTTGAGAGGGTCTCAGTCCAGCGCCGCCCTGGAGCTGGAGGACGCCCGCCGCAGGGATCTTGCACTAAGCAGGCAGGCACCACTGCCCGTGCTGTCTGCATGTCTCCGGGACTGCAGGGGGAGGGCTGGACACACACGTGTCAAAACCAGAAGCCCGAGGAGCAGGAGCTGATGAGGCCTCCCCGAGGAAGCAGTCACTAGGTGACGATCGAGTGACTCATTTTCTTCCTGAATTCTCTAAACTGCTAATCGCAGCACAGTAACACCCCGAACCTGTAACCTTAAACTTAACCCTAATCAAACTCTAAACTCACCCTAACTCCAAACCTAATCCCAAATCCAACCCTAACTGTTGCAGTTTGGGCCTAAAATATTCCCCAGTCTTACCTATTCACAGATGGGGATTTGGAAGGCGATGAGATTGCAGGGAGCTACACTATGTTCGCCAGGGGCGAGCCCTCCTGAGAATCATCCCACAGCTAATCTGTCGTTAGGAGGTGGGGCCTGGCAACCCGCCTGTGCAAGGGGGCAGGGCCTGGTGGGCTCCCCAGCAGGCTCCCCGCTGCCCTCTGCCCCCAGGAGGGAGGTAAGCTCCCTGAAGCACGAGTGCGGTGCTGCTTCAGCCCTGGTGTCACCAACCGTGGACAGCACTCTATGAAAGCCGTAACTGACAACCACCTCTCCGCCTTTAAACTGTGGTGCCAGGCATTTTGTTCCAGTGACCTAAAAGAGACTAATATAATATAATAAAATATAGAATATACTATAGCAACAGGCTGGATACTAATATTAGTCTCTTCAGTATATAAACTCCAAACCTAAACCCTAACCCGAAAGCATGACACTGATTTAACCCTAACCTAATCCTAAATCCAATCCTACTGCCTAGCCCTGATCCTAAGCCCTAACCATAACCCCCAACCCTAACCCTCTAACCCACTGTCTTTTCTCTGGGGAGTTCTGTGGTCTCCCAAGGCACAGGGCCAGCCTGTTCTGGGAACACATGGGCATCCTCGCCATCACTTACGGGTTTGCCGTCCAGACCCAGCGGCCCCTGGAAAATGAGAGAGCAAAGGTTACAATGGGAGTGACATGGCTTCTGTGTCTTATGGCCCCAGGGCATTATTCAGTGGCAACAAGACAAAGCATGCCCTGAGCCCGGAGACCTGGGACATCCCATGTGGCCTGTGAGGGCCTGCTGCCCAGAACCCCTCCTCTGACAACAGAGCCCAGCTTGTCTCTAAAGATGCCCACTGCCGGGGTGGGGCTGCTGGGGTGGGCACAGGCCCATGTCCCCTCGGTCCAGGTCATCATAGCCTGGGCTCAAGCCAAGCTGTGCGTGCTGTGTCTGGGCTTTCAGTGGTGATCTACAGGGGAAGAGGGCTTTTTTCTCCCAGTGCAGCTGAGCCTGGAGCTGAGGGACTACCTCACGGCTTGAGAAAGAGCCAGCAGAGCGGATAGCAAAGCAAGAGACAGAGAGACAGGACTGAGGCCCGGCGCTGTGGCTGGCCCTGCTGTCGCCCCTAAGCCAGCCTGACAGGGTTTCCCACTCATAACGGTCCTGAGGCTCTGAGCACCGGCAGGCTGTGGCTGTGGCCAGACGACAGCACAGGTTCTGAGGGCGCTGGGGCCGCAGAGGGCCAGCAACCACCGCACACCTCCCAGGGCCGCATGCGGGCACCGGTCCTGCTCCCTGCCTGGTGGGGCGGCCACGCCCCAGGACGCTCGGCTTCTGCGGACCCTGGCCCCTGCCCGCTGCTGTCCCCACTCCCGTGCAGGTCCCAGCAGCACTGCAAGCCTTTGCACACGCACACAGGCCACCTGCCGGGCTCACCCGCCTGTCTTTGGGTTCCCCGTCCTCCAAGAGGCACTGCAGGCTTCCCACTCCCCCAGGTCCAGGTCCCTCTGCGTGAAGTGCCTGTGCCTGGCTCAGTTCCCTAACAGTGCTCCACAGCAGCCTCTCAGTCAGGAAGGGGTCTGAACCCCATGTCCCCAGGCGTGGATGGCACATGGCACAGGGCAGCTCTGTGCAAAGTCACAGACCCAGTGCTCAGGAGCAGGAACACTCTGCGTTTTAGGTTGTTTCTGGTTTTGAAATACAGGTAGAGTGCTCTTCGCCTGAAAATATGAAATGCCCCAAAGTCCAGAACTTTTTGAGTGGCAGCACAAGGCTGGCCATGCGTGGGAAACCTCATCCCATGAGCCCTTGCTTCACACTGGTCACAAGCCGGTGCCATCAGGAGGGTGCATGAGATACAAGAACGGGTTCTGCATTTAGACTTGGGTTTCACCTTCAAGACATCTCACTGGGGAAATGTTCTGAAATCTAAAAATTTCAAATTCCAAAACAGTCGGGGCCCGAGCACCTGGGGCCGGGCCTCTCTGCACATTCACGAGATGCCTTGGGGAGAAGGCCCAGGTCTAAGCCCAGGTTCACCTGTCCCGTGAGCATCCCACAGAGCCTAAGGGTGGGTTTTTGCAGTATTTCAAGGAGTTTTGTACACGAGGGTGGGCAGCACAGCTCTGCCCGGCCCTGGCTTCTGGCCTGGGCGGCCTGTCTGCTCTTGACCAAGAGCTGCTTTGGAAAGCAACAGTGGGGAATTTGGTCCTGAAAAGTGTGTACATGTGCGTGTGTGAAGGGGGCAGGCAACAGCCAGTGATGGTGGGATGTGGGGCCCTCGGGGAGCTGGGGGTACAGGGCAGTTTGGGCCTCAGGGTCTCTGTCTCCTTCCTCTGGCCTCTTATAGCCTCCCTGTCGCTGTTGGCCAGCCTCTGCCACTTGGTCCCTGAGTCCCAGGGCTCCTCTGGGTAATCTCTGGCTTTGGCGATTGTGTGACCAGGTCAAGTGTTTCTGGCTGTCACAGCCTCACAGTTGGCGGAGGGTTTGGACATCACATCCATGGCTTGGGGCCGCTGGAGCCCGGGAGAGGGCAATGGGGTCACCCCTGGCCAGGGCCTTGGTGCCCCCTCAGGTACAGTTCCACCATCAGCTACCATAGCCTGCTGGACTCCTACATTTGGCTTCTGACCATCGTGAACATGGACTCGAAGGCCTGAGGCCGGGCCGGCTCCTCCTCCACCCCTGGGCTGCGTCCTTTGAGGTGTCTTTGCCTGGTTCTGGCCAGGCCTTGTCCTCTTGGCTGTAAGACAGCAACGGGGCTAGTCCAGCCGGGCCTCCCCAGGAGCTCTCTGTGATCACTGTGGCCACCCTGTCAGGTTGCCGGCACTGTCTCCTCATCCTGAGGAAGCTGAGCCCGGCAAAGGGAAGATGGTGCTAGGGCGTGTGTGGGGGCAGGCCTGGCCATCCGCCAGGACTGAGCCTGGGTCCAGGTCCCCCTGCGTGAAGCCCTGCCCAGGTCTCACCCGACACTGCTCCCCCTCCAGCCTGGCCCTGCAGCCTCTGTTCACGCTGAACATTGTCGTTTTTGTGCTGCTGTGCGTGAACCCAGGGCCTCTCCTGTGCCAGGCCACAGCTCTGCCCAAGACCCTTGCTGCCCTTCTGGGTCACCATGGTTACACGGAAAGCCCTTAAGCACGGGAAAATCTAGTTTCACTCTGCTCGCTTCCAGGATGTAGGGTCCGACAGGTGAATAGGGCAGGGGTGTAGCTCTGGGTTGTGTGCACGCACACACGAGGCGCTGGGCTCCATGCCCAGCTCCACCACACACTACACCAAACGCAAAGATTCTGTGGCTTTCCAGTGGAGGCAGGGCCGTGGGGCCAGCAGAGCTCTTAGCAGGGTCAGGTGGGGCTGAAGTTGTCAGGAGCCAGTGGCAACCAGCTCTGTGACCAGCACTCCACACCCACATACGTGTCCATCCTGAGGGGGCCTTGGTAGGCCCCCCACCTTTGGCCTTGGTCTGTAGAGGTGGCTCCAGCTTTGTTTTTGTTTTTTTCTCCTCGTGTGCTGGGGATTGAACCCAGGCCCTTTGCACTAGGCTGCATCCCCAGGGGCTTTTCATTTTTTGAGACAGAGTCTCATTAAGTCACTAAGTTATACAGGCTGGGCTCGAGCTAGAGATCCTCCAGCCTCAGCCTCCCAGCGTGATGGGGTTACAGATGTCCTCTAGGCCTGGCTATCTGGGTCCAGCCTTAATGACTCCTGGGCAAGAAAGCTATCAGGAATTCTCCAAAGGAATTCTGTCTGGGTCCCTGCTGGAGAGACCCTTGAGTGCACGGGGCCAGTGGGGACCCTGAGGAGGGGCCTCCAGGTGGCAAAGGAAGAAGCAGGTGGGCCTGCCTGGCCTGAGCAGGATCCGACCTCCCCTCCCCTTGGGTGAGGAGACATCAACTGTGACACTTGAGGACAGGTCCTCGCCCGAGTTTACCAGCATACAGCCTTCTCCAAGCAGGTCTCTCAGGGTAAATCGGATGCTTGGGGAAAGGTCCCATGGTCAGGAAAGCTTGAGAAACCCTGACTGACACCCTGGGGAGCGGCTCTCCTCCTGTGAGCCTCGACCCAGTCACTTTCAGCTTCACGCCTCTCTAGGAGAATGATTTCCGGGTCATGCCAAACTCCACACCCAGCTGAGTCTTAGCCGGGCAGCAGACTCCAGGCTGTGCAGATGTCACAGACATGGTGGCTCTGAGGGCTGGGAACAGAGGAGCCCATGGGGCTCTGTGGAGGGGGTTGGCATGGGTGGGAGGGCAGGCCGGGCCCTGGGGCCTGGAGGCTAAAGTGGGCGGGCTGGGCTCCAAACGCACAGCAGCCCCTCTGGGTGGACAGATCCTGTGCGGTGAGGACCCCTCACGCTCCTTCAAGGACAGCAGGACAGGCCGAGCGTGCAGAGGCTTGCGAGCAAGCAGCTCACAGAAGAGGCGGGGCCTGGCAGGTCTGGGTTCAAGTCCCTTTAGCCGTCAGCTCCGCAGACACTGAGGCACCGGGCCTGTATGCGCCTGGCTCCCCCTGGGCCCTGCCCACCCTGATCAAAGCTTCAGAATCCACCGGAGGTTTTCAACGCCTCTGCCCTCTGAGAATCCCCACAGCTGTTCACAAGCTCCGCTCTGCTGGCTTCCTGAGATCAGCTGGGCTCAAGGCTGGTTTCGGCTGTGCAAGAAGCGAACAAAGCTCCCAGAGGGTGGATGAAGCCCAGCGCTGGCTTAGGCGTGGAGCATGGGAAGCCACAGCCATGCACGTCTCTCAGGGATGAGGGTAAGCACGTGCAACTCTGCAGGCTGGCTGGCACCAAAGCAGGTCACAGCGGCCCTGAGGGGCAGTGCTAGGAGTGGATGGAGGCCACGGAATGCTGGGCCATGCCACCTGGTGACATCCACTCCCTGCTCACAGCGTCCCTTCCCCAGTGAGGGCCACCGAGCCACCTGGGGAAAGGTGACAGTGCCAGAGGGAGGCCTCCTGGTGAGTGTCCAGCTAGATCACCCATGCTAGCTGAGGCCTAGGCCGGCCCTGCGCCTTCTTGTAGCTGGACTGGGAAAGGGACAAAGGCAGGGAGTGTGGAGCAAGGCTCAGTCTTGCCCTTCTAGCTGTGGCTCAGCCTGGAGATGGCCAGGGTGGCAGTGATCCGAGTCTCCAGCCTCCTGTGTTTTGTCGTCCAGCGCAGGCTGCTGCTAAGTGACTACCTTGCTCTGCTTGTCATCACTTCTGGGAACCCTTAAAGCCCTGAACCAGGCCCCTGGATGGGCTTCCTGGGATCCCCACATTACAAGGCTGGAGGGTCCAGCCTAGGCACGCAGTCCCGTGAAGGCTTCTGCCTCTGCTCGCCTTCTTTAGGGGGGCACCTCTGGCTGGCTGTCGGCACCAGCCAGGCTGCTAGCACACAGTGGGCTTCTGGGGCTCCTATGTTCCCCAAACTTGGATTTTTTGCCCCAGGGCATAGACGGAGAGCACCTCGAAGCTCAGGGTCAAGGCAGCCTTAGCCTGTGCTCTGGGGTGCCCTGTACTCACCCACCTAAATTGCTGTCACCCAGTGTGGATATAGTGGGAACCCGGTCACCCCGCCAGGCACTAGGGCTCCCTGGACCATACATGCTGGACGGCTTCCCACTGCCCCCACCTTGCCTCTGCTCGCCCCTCTCTCCTGCCCTGCAAGGCGCTGC